CTGGGTCAGAACCCCTCTATTAAGGAAGGCTCGGAGGCCATTCTTAGCCAGGGTTGCTTGTGTGAAAGGCCCCCTTCTATCTGGAAACCCCGGGGAAGGAAAGGCTAAATTATTATTAGCCTAGGACAGTGGTGGCTAACCTTTATGGGCTCCTGTGCCAAAAACTGTGCGCATACTCACGCTCACATGCCAGCACCCAGAAGGCAAAGTGCACCTCCCCTCCCCTTGTGCATGAGTGTGCAATCCCTCCCTACCCCCTTACCTGCACGGCGCCTCCCGGCTGATTTTCGGCTTGTTTAAGGCCTTTTTCGGCCTCCCAGAGGCTTGAGAAAAACTTCTGCAGGCTTTGCAGGCCGAAAAATGGGCCCGTTTCGTCAGTTCCGGTATTTCCGGAAATACAGGAAGTGACGAAACGGGCCTAATTTTCGGTCTGCGAAAGCTTTCCTCAAGCCCGAAACTCAACTGGGGGGCGTGCGCATGCGCAGTGAGGTAAGTTTGCCTGCGGCTCGCATGCCAGCACAAGTGGCTCTGGGTTCGCCATCACGGGCCTAGGAGATTTTTTGTACATTGGTTTTAGGGGGGAAAAAAGATGGGTTTTCTAACCAAGGAAAAGAGATTCAGAGTCAAGTAAGGCGTACCTTGAACTCCCCAAAATTCAGCAGGCCTGGCAACTGGAAAGAGCCCCAGCTTCCAAACTGAATGCCGGAGCGGAAGAAATTGAGGGTGAAGGTGGCGGACATGGAGCAGAAGAGCTGGAAGGAAAAGGCACACAAACCCAGGTCATTCCCAGGATCCGTGCGGCCATTTTCAAGGTCCCAAAGCTTGCCTCGACTTACGACCATTCTTTCGGTGACTTTGAAGTTACAACAGCACTGAAAAAAACACGACTTACGACCGTTTTCCTCACACTTAATAACCGTTGCAGCCTCCATTCATGGCCACGTGATCAAAATCCGGATGCCTGGCAACTGACTCATGTTTATGACGGTTGCAGTGTCTCAGTGCCATCCCCTTTTGCGACCTTCTTGACAAGCAAAGTCAACGGGGGAAGCCAGATTTCACTACTGGCAGTTGTTACTGACTGAACAACTGCCACGATCCACGGAACAACCGTGGCAAGAAATGTCGTAAAAACGGGGACAAAATTCACTGAACAGCCTCGCTTAGCCGTGGAAATTTTGGGGCTCAATTGCGGTCGTAAGTTCGAGGACTGGCTGTCTATGCCATGTTCGGAGAGAAAAGGCCTGCCGACAGCTCTCCAGTAACACATGAACACGGGACACAGAGGTGGTCTTCAGCCGGTTCTGACCTGTTCCGGAGAACCGGTAGCGGAAATTTTGACTAGTTCGCAGAACCAGCAAATACCGCCTCTGGCTGGCCCCGCCCACATCTATTCTCCGCCTCCCGAGTCCCAGCTGATTGGCTGGGTCTCCTTTGGTTGCCCTGCACAGGAGAACGGAGCTGAAAAGCAGGTTAATGGGGTAGGGAGGGAAGGGGGATTTTGCAGGATCCTTCCCCTGCCAAGACCACCAAGCCACACCCACAGAACCGTTAGAAATTATTTTCGAATCCCACCACTGATAGGATGGCAGGGGTCCTGCCTCCCGATCCACCCGCCAGACCCACGGGGGGCTGAGCTGAGAGTTTGGTCTCACCACTTTCCACGTGAGGCCCTGGTTCCAAAAGGAAGAGCCCTCTTCTAGGCTGAAAAGCGTCCCTCCAATGGGTGCCCCAAAGGCTGCGGCCACTCCAGCGGCCGCACCAGCAGACACAAAATCTCTTTTGTCCCTAAGAGGGGGGGAAAAACACGCCTGAGAGGCAGGAAGAACAAACACGGGAGCAACATCGTATTTTCCATACCCCGTCGGGAAAAGGGCAATGGGCATGTTTTAAGAAGTATATACAGTGGCTCACAGAAGATAGAATAACAAGGTAAGGAGGAACCTTGGAGGTCTTCTAGTCCAGTGGTCCCCAACCTTTTTTGTACCAGGGAACGGTAAAATAAAAATGAAATGATCCACGGACCGGTACCGGCATCAGCACGCACGACCAAGGCAAGGCGAGCCGAGCGACCTGCCAGCCAGCCGTCCCCCGCTTCTCCCCGCCACCTTCAATTCCTCCTTTGTACCTTCTCGCTTTTATGGGCTTTTCGGGCTCTTTCTTAATCTCCTCCTGAGTAACGCGAGACTCCACCGCCATCAGGATGGCTCTTCGTTTGAAGCCGCCCCCCCACTTCGACGAAACTAAGGCGCGAGGATTCCTTCAGCACCCAAATGCCGCTTTCCAACCGACGACCGACAAGCTCACCCGGAAGCACTTTCTCAAGCGCCGTCGAAACAAGATGGCGGTGCCCAAGTACCGGCGGCCCGGTAAAAAATGATCCACGGACCGGTACCGGTCCGGGGCCCGGTGGTTGGGGACCCCTGTTCTAGTCCAACCCCTTGCTCAAGCAGGAGACTGTATACTAGGGGGTAGTCAACCTTTTTATACCTATCACCCATTTTTGTATCTCTGTTAATAGTAAAGTTTTCTCTAACCGCCCACCGGTCCCACAGTAATGGTGGTTTATAAAGTAGGGGACAAAACCCCTAACGCCCACCATGAAAGCTGGAACGCCCACTCGTGGGCGGTAGGGAGCAGGTTGACTACCACGGCTGTATACCATTCTGGACAAATAATTGGCCAATCGACGAATCGAAAAAGACCTAGGGATTCACACATTGTAACAGTCCTTCTCAGGATTCCTTACGGCTGTCCATGCTGGCTGGAAGCTAAACCATGGTGTACTTAGCAAGGTCTGTCAGACAAGCTCCAGCCAGCCAATCTACTGAGCCAAGAGGCTGATAAGTTCAAAACATCACGCAGCAGTTAAAGCAATTGGATTTTCGGAACAGCAATATATGGCCTTCAATTCAAGACGTGAGAACCTCAGATCCACACGGTTTTAAAAAACAGATTTTGAAAAGGTGGTGGAGTTCACTTCCCTTCAAAAATGCCAAGGGAGAAAAAAAAAATGCCGGTGGTTTTATTCACCGTGGAGGAGCTGGAGACTTTTTAAAGAGCTGAGCGGATTTCACAAGTAGAAATTTTAGAAGAGGAGGAAAATAAATAGCTTCTCCATCCATGGGTGTCAGTTGTGGCCCAGTATCTGATTGGCAGCCAATAATGAAAGCGCCCATTAATCAGAGGGTTTCAACTGCTTTTCTAAAAGAGACCCAGCATTGCAACCCTATCCCATAGCAACACAGCAAATCTGAAAACACGTCTTTCTCCTACACAGAGAGCCATTACCTTCTCCAATCGAGGAGCCCACATACCTGTCACTTCGGAAATAGGGGAAATTAAACCGGATCCTCCTTAAAGAGATACTCTGGAACTGCAGAAGGAAGGAAGGAAGGAAGGAAGGAAGGGAGGGAGGGAGGGAGGG